CCACGCAGACCTGCCTGCCGCCTGGCCACCTGATGGACGCTGCCCCCATGAAGACCGTGCCTCCGCGCTTCCCCCTCTTCCACTTCAAGCACTCGCCCCCCCACACGCCGGCCGCGGCCGCCCACATGTGCTACGACCCTGCCTCCCTGAGCCTGCCCCTGGGCTCCGACAGACCCGCCGCCAGCCAGACACCCATGGAGAGCCATTCCTACGGGCTTCACCTGGCCAAAAGACCAGCCACCTTAGCCTTCTCATCGCTCGGCCTCAACGCAGCCACCTCCAGCCTGATGGGTGAGAGCAGCGGCGGCGGCAGCAGCGGCCTCCCATCTCCGCCCAGCAGGAGCTCCTCGTCCGGGGAAGGCACCTGCGCCGTCTGTGGGGATAATGCCGCCTGCCAGCATTACGGGGTACGGACGTGCGAGGGCTGCAAGGGCTTTTTCAAGGTGAGAGCTCTGCGGTTTGCTCCCCTCCGCGCTTCCCCCAGCCCCCTCTCCCTCCCTACCTGACCCAGTACGTTCCTGGTCCTCGCCCGGGGGCTCGGGGGCGTTGTGTTAGAGCTCAGAGCCCCCCAGCAGGGCGTGATGGACACCCACCCAAAGTGTTTGAAGAAGGCCAAAGCAAGCCCTCTGTAGGATAAAAGGATCAGCCAGTCTCGGCTGAGAAAGGGCCGTGGCAGTGAGCTGGGCAAACCACGTCCCTGGTCTGCCAGCAGCCCTCAACGGGGCTTATGGGTCCCCCCTCTCTGAGCTATAAACTGCATTTGTTCCGTAGCGAAACTCACCTGGAATATATCCAACCTCAGTAACTCATTCCAATTAAACCTAATTTTTAAGCGAGGAAAGAAATCCAGAAATCATGAAGTCCACTTGGCATTTTACTTGATTGCAGCAGTGCCGTTTGTTGTCCTGGGGCGGTCGGGGTGAGGAGGGAGGGCTGCAGGGAGGAAGCTGGTTTCACGCATGGGACAAACCCAAGCACTTCTAGTTTTATTTGGCTGCTGCCTGGTCGTTACTTCTCAGTTCAGGAGGCCAGCGAGTCCTCACCGGTGGAAAGCTGCTTGCAGAGCAGTGACTAAGCACTGCACAGGGTCCCGCTGCCCGCTCTGTAACACAGAAGGCTTTGCAACACGAGTAACTTACACACGGCAGTTTCTCAGTGGAAACTTGGTGCTTATGCTTTTAAGATTTGAATACCCTCTTTTTGCTCTTAGATTTGGGCGCTTCGTCATTTCCTTTCAACAGACTGAGTTCAGATTCCAGCATTATTTTCAGAGTTAGCTTGTTTTAGTGAAGAATTTGGGACAGACTTTTAGGTTCTGGGCAGCAGGTTTAAGATTTGGTACATTTGGGGTTGATACGGTATATTCCTTCCTGCAAAGACAGCAGTCGTACCCCTTTTCTGGGAAAAGATACGATGGGAACAAAAATAGTCCAAAAATAGCTGGGGGGGAAGGCTTACTACATTTTTTTTATTGTATACAGAGCTGCTAATGTTACTTAATAATAACCCTTTGACAACATGGTAGAATATACATCTCCTGTAAAACTCATTTGTTATTTAAATATAGTTAGAAAAGGAAACACAAATAACCTGGAAATAGCAGCTCTTATGGGCCCGATCCTGCCCCTGTGGAAATCAATAGCATATCCTTGACCGGGAGCAGTATCTAGAGCTTATTCTGCAAAATTAAACAGTTTTCAGCTCTAAAGCACAATGGACAATATTTGCTGTGTCTCTTATGTTTAGTACACGGAGGCTGTTATTTGCAAAGGAACACAAATTATGAAATAACATGTTTCCATTAATTTAATTGCAGTGAAAGATTTAATATTGAACGTTGAGCTGATAAATTTGTTCCTGTTCTGATGTCTTTCCTATTAATGTCTTTTTTTTGTGCTGTGTTATTTATTGATGTGTCTTTGATTTTAAGTATGGAAACACATAATACATTTTTACATCAATATTTGTTACATTTTGCCAAAGCTTACCAGGTTTTTACAAATCTTAAATTTATTGTAACGTTTTAAGATCATTTTAGAGTTAATTAAATGTATATAACTACAGTATAATTCTGTCTATTTTTTTCACAGGTCAGGTTAGCTTTCCCAGAATATTTAACTAAAGATATTTTGTAGGGGTTTCTGGTATTTTTATTTTTCTCCCTGATGATTTTAATGGCTAACCAAACCAGTTATTGTGGTATTTGACTAACAATAGCGATAGCAAGAGAAGTACATCACAGATCATTTTGATTTTATTTTAATAAGGTCAGCAATAATCAAGGGAATGAACCAAGTAGAAAATTGTTCCCAAAGGGATATTAAAAGCGGAGATAATCTAATCCCCAAAGGTAGATGCGATGACCTGGTAATTTCAGATATGATTTTATCATTCAAAGTTGCCTGTCTCCAGAGACTTGCTTCAGAACAATCCTAGATGATTTTCATTGTCAGCAGCTAACACTAATAAAATTGTTTTTCCTGGAGGCTAGCGTGTTAGGAAATTAATTTTATCTAATTATATGAATTGCACTGTCGCTTTTCATGTTGTAATTAAAACACATTTTGTCAGGTTCTAAGTTGTTCAAGAAATGATCGGTTTACTGTTTTTGTGTTGCATTTTCGCAGAGAACAGTTCAGAAAAATGCAAAATATGTTTGTCTGGCAAATAAAAACTGTCCAGTGGACAAGAGACGTCGTAACAGATGCCAGTACTGCCGGTTTCAGAAGTGTCTCAGCGTCGGCATGGTTAAAGAAGGTAAGGACTATTGCTATTATTATCCCAGACACTGAACTACTACGTTTAATGAATCTCTGTGTGTGTGTGTGGACATGGATGCCTTTACAATGAATTTTTACAGTGATGGGATTCATAACTTACTCCAAAATATGTGCATTTGTGTAATAATGTATTGATTTTCTTTTTTTCACCCATATTATCATATTTAGACTTTAGACCCCAGAGTTCAAGAACAGCAAGGTCACGAGAGGATAATTTGACACTGGCCAAAATGTCTCCTTTATTAACTTTGAACGTTGCTCGATAATGCTGTTGGCTTCCCCCTGTTATCTCACCGGGGGCTGCACTGCGTTGTGTGCATTTTGACATAGCATCTTGTCTCATTCCCATAAGCTGATTGTAAATTTGCAATTAATTTAAATGGAAACAGGATCAACTCATTAGTCCCAATTCTGCAAATATTTAAGCATGTGAGTAATAATGTGTGAGCAGTCCCATTGCAAATACTAACACGGATAATATAACCTACATAGCATGACCATATTTTTTCACATGCTTCAGGAAAGCTAAAATTACTTTGAATGAACGACTCTGCCATTTAAAAGGTGCGCCAGTAGTAGGAACGTTAGAATTTGTCTTTCACATTCAGTTTTCTTTCAGCAGTAGGGTGTCCCTGTGTGTGTGTGTGTGCCTGGGCACACATACAGGGGCGCAGAGATGTGCTGCAAACAAAGCACGAACACTAGGAACACAGCTGGGCTTTAAGTAAGCAGCTCCATTGCTGCTTACAATCATAGGTCTGACGCAATTTTGGTATCATTTGTGTTCCTTTGCAATCAAAGGCATCAAGAGCATGTGCTGAAACTGGAGAATGCTCTTATTTTTGCCGGGCTGGCCACCATAAGAAAAGCAGGTGTTCATTCTGATCCATTGTTTGCTGGTATCTTCACAACTGATTCCCCTTTTTTTTTCACCTAGTTGTCCGTACCGACAGCCTGAAAGGGAGAAGAGGTCGGCTGCCTTCCAAACCAAAGAGCCCCTTACAGCAAGAACCCTCCCAGCCCTCCCCGCCTTCTCCTCCCATCAACATGATGAACGCCCTTGTACGAGCTTTAACCGACTCCACGCCCAGGGAGCTTGACTATTCAAGAGTATGTCTCACTTTTCTTGGCCCGTTTGTTTTCCACATAGAAATGATTCGTGAACTGCATTCCTACTTACCAGCCGGTTTGCTAAAATGAAATCAAATGTGAAACTTGGATGAGGGTAAAAATTTGCCCAGCCAGCCATGTCTTTTCATGGTAGGTGGACGATGAGGGGAAAGGAGGTACAGTAGAATTAGTGTTAGTAACTTTTCATCGGGAGGATCTCAATCACAAAGTTATCTGCAGTATATTCCACGGCTGAGTGAAAGCAAAAATGTGTGGATAAACAGAGTAGTATTCTTGCAAAAGGCTGTGCCAAAACACTAGCAATTACAATACAATCGATTAATCTACCAAACTCAGGAGCAGTACTCATGTGTCCAGTATCTTAATTTCCAGGTTCTGAAGGCTAAAATCTAACAGCACTTCCTTAATATTCAGATATAAGGGTTGCGGAAAGTAACACTGGATGGATAGGGCCATTTCTATTGAAATCAATAGGAATTTTGCCATTATTTAAATGGGGGTCTGGCTTTGGATGCCCCAGCACGAATATTTCTTCAGTAAAATTTACATTTGTAAAACAAACCTTTTAAAATCAAAATTTTAAAAAATTATCTCAGCAAAGCTTTACCAGAGATTATATATTTTGTAACCTTGTTTTTTAATGTGTCATATTCACCATTTAAATATTCATGGAATATTTTGAAAGCTTAAAAAACTCTTCTATAATTATTAAAATACAGCATGGAAATGGCTTGTTAAATAGATTTTTAGGCAGGTTGATATAGGAGAAGAAAAAATACAGCTAGGGAAAAACAAGATCAAATTCCTTCCCCTTAATGAAATATGATTAAATCTGAGACTGTAAAAAATACAGCTGTACTCAGACAACATCTACATTGGCCATGTATCACTTGTTGCTAAGTAATATTTAATACTAAAAGATATTTGATTGTAGTTATATAAAAAATACATTGTTCTATTTTAGAATATACTTACATATATCTTTAGCAACTTTAAGCATGCTGCAACATCTTTTTTTCAAGCTAATCTGTAAGTATGCAATCATATAATTTTCCAAATTATTACGAAGAATCTAGCTGTTCAATATCTGACAGCCTTTTAAGGGGGAGAATACATTAGCCATATTTACATGTGTTTTAACTTACCTGGAATGTCTCAGGGGGTCATTCTACCGAGGTGTGTGAAGAGCTGTGCTCTTTGACAGAAATCTGCTGGGTTCCACAGAATTACAGGCATATAATAGCCAGGCCGTGAAAGCGATATCTAACCTTATGTATTTATTTATTTATAGACATAAAGTTCTTTTGCATTTCCAAAAAACTGAATGAAAACTGTGTATTTTTATGTGACTTTTTTCTCTGTCCTGCAGTAATTATTTCTCTTTTAATGAAAACAGCCCACAGATCTAATTGTTGAACAATTCTGTTGGACATTAGAGGAAGCATATGATTGACAGTAAATTAATTTAGTCTTGGAAGCTAAAAGATTAAGTATGATTATCTGTTCGGACATATTAATATCCAAGTTTTTCTTTACAATAAAATATATCATGATCTGTTATGTTCAGCAGTACTGAAAAGACAAAAATATGCGAAAAGAAATTAATAGATTCTTATGTTTTTCATAAACCTTATACTTCTTTTGGAAAGTTAAGGGAGATCAGAAACAAATGCTGTGTAAAAACTGAGATTAACTAAATGAAAGATGCAGTAAACACACTGCAATGCTAAAAAATCCCTTTGAAGAATAATCCTGTACCTGTAAAGACTTACTTACGGGGCGTTCGGTTAGGCTGTGACCCTGCCGTGCACCACGAACGGGTAGATCTGGAAACCTGGCTTTGGAGCAAGTCCTAACACTTCTGCAGACATGACCTTAATGTTTAGCATGGTCTTCATGTTTACATGCCATAATGTCTTGATCGTCTTAAAAATACTGATAAGAGTTTCAGAGAGGAATGTGTACCCCTTCCCTCCAAAAAAACCTACACACACACACACAAAAAAACCCAAAAAAGCAAAACCAAAAATGAATTACATAAGCTATGAATTTTAAACTAAAACAGATTGGAACCGGTTCTGATCAGAACATGGCCACTTTTCATTTCAGCACTGGTTTTAACTTACCAGTCCACAGCAATGGTATATTTAGGTACTTGGTTTCAAAAAGCAATTCCTAGGAAGAGAATTTGGTTTATGAACTCCTTAAAGGCGAAGGGCCGCAGTCTGGTCTCACACCTGTTTTACTGATACAATTCCATGAGTTTACACTTCTCAGTAAGTGAGATGAGAAACAGACCCTGTATCTTGCTGTCCTTATTCATGCAGAATAGCCGCCAACTTAAATAGAATTGTTGCCTTTTTGGAAGGAGAGTGCAGCATTTAGGTAATAATCCGCCCCCTCCCGCCCCCCGCCACAAAATTAAGCAAATACCGGGGCTTTTGGAAAAAACAAGCATAGCTTCTCCTCTGTGCAGAGAAGTTATTGTTAGGCTTTTGCAGCTGTAGCAGTTGATGAAGGTCTGATGAAAGCAGGCAAAGGGTAGAACGAGATCGTGCTATCAGGCTCCCCAACATCAGGCTTTCCGAATCTTTTCAGATAGACCGTACAAGTTCATGTTGCTTGCTGCACATGCACACCCCGCCTTGAGCAGCAGTCGGGTTTCATTTAATTCCCAAAGGAGCTCTGAGGAAGGGAGCAAGGCAGAGCTTTGTCTTCTGGCTTTCCCCCGGCGTGCCTCCAGTTTGCACAGGGCAGGTTAAGAAATGCAGATCCGAGCCCTTCTGTACTATGGCCTCCTGACCAAGGGCAGGCTTACCAGCTGTCTTGGTCAGAAGTTAGGTCAAATATCACTTCTTGTCAATGAAATAATCATGGAAAAAACCCACAGATTTTGGTGCATAAACCAGAACCATACATATTGTTTATGGTTACTTACATACTCATAAGTCTGTTACAAGTAAATAATATTTTATTTTAGCTATTCTTTGTAAGTGCTAACTCTTTGTAGCGAGCAGTGACATAGTACAGCAGCTAAAAATTACACAATTCCATATAATTTTTTTACCTTTCTTCTAAAATTGCTCTCATGGGCTAAACTATAACAACAAATACAGGTTATAATTTTTTTAGATGCATTTAATTTAATTAAGTATCCCACGTGGGGTATACAGCACTGTAGCATTCACAGTTATGTGACATAATGCAGCATTCAGCTTCATTAGAAAATGTTAAAACTTTGCCTTACTTTTGCCGAAGGAATGTCTAATAAATATTGGGAACAAATTAATTCCTGGCATAATTACACTGACTTGTGATGAGTTACATTTAGAATGAACTTAGGGTAGTACCTTTTTCTTTTCCTTTTCCTTTTCTTTTCCTTCCTCTTCACTGCTCAAAGGATCAAGAATGTGTCTTGCCTTAACAGTACCTATGGTGAGGCAGGAGTTTCCATGAGACTGTTTGCTTTCCCTGTGTAGAAAGGAGTCATAGCTCAGCCCCTTTTGTGGAGCAAAGCACATCTCCCAGAGTCTTCAGGAGCTGAAGGCCATGAATGGGAGAAGCCCATCTCCTCACACGCACACTGTCTTGGCTTGCTCCACAGCTTCTTTTTAGGAGAGTCCAGAACATGCAAGGTCTCTGAAAAAGCATATGATCTTTTTCTACCCACTAATCACCCTGCCGCATCTTATTGCAGTCCAGTGCCAGGAGTAGTTAGTTCATGCTGCTTGAGCATCCTCAACTGCTCCATTCAGATGGGGGACTGAACAGGTAAATGATGTAGCATACAGATGTTTCTACCGCAGCTCCCCATCCTCTCTGTATTTTGGCCTCTACCTGCTTCACTGTCACAGGATCCTTCGGAGTAGCTGGTTCAGAATTTGTCTCCACGTGAACTTTAAAAGAGGGATCGCACGTGTTTCACTAGCTGACTAGGGATGTGAGCTGGAGCTTACCATGAGTAACTCGTGTAGGTAGTATTGGGTAAGCAGAACAGAGTCATTCAGGACTAGCACCAGCACCCCAGATACAGCCACAGGTCTCTAGGATTGCCATGGTTCTCCAGTCAATCAGCGACTCTGACACTGTGTCCTTCATCCCTTACCAGCTCGAACTAGGACAGGCAGAGAACAGGACGCCTACCCGAGAAGTTCTGCTTGCTGCTTCCCCCTCTCTCTCACCCTCTCTCTCCCACCTCTCCCTGCACAGAGGTGACTTTTGGGTTGCAGTAAGCAGCTTGGGTGATATCTGCAGCTCAGGTGGCATACCTGTGATAAGGTCCTCCCAGGCTGCCAGCCCACTGTTACCGATCGGGAAAGAGATGTGGGTCTTTCTGCTTCCACTCTGGCTTGGGGAGTTGCTAGGGAGGCCTTCAGGCTGACGGACTCAAGCCCGAACTGCATGTGGAAAGTTGTTTCCAAAGGGCGTGCATACTTCTTTCAGCCATGCAGACCACCCCGACTTTTCCTTGGCTGAGTCCCAGAGAGAGAGTTGGTATGAGGCCTCTCCCAGAAATAACCCGTAAGATGCCTGATGGGGAGGATGTTGTTACAATAAATCTCAAATTATTCAGCTCCTGCTCAGAAAACCAGCAGCCCTTTCCAAGCACAGAATCAGACTAAGCCACGAAAGCTCCTGTTGTATTTTCTGCCGAGAGAGAGCGAGCAGTGTCACGGGAGTGACAGGGATCCACTGATGCGGAAGCAGGAGACAGCGGGGAGGGAGCTGTCAGAGGGTCACGGGGAAGCTGAGCAAGCTGAGGCTGTGGAATGGTTGTCTGGAAGAGTTATGGCCGCATCAGCAGGATAATAGGTTCTCCTGAACCTTAAATGCTTCCATTTGAAGGATAAGAGGTGATATGGGGCAGCTGTTTTACTTTGAAGCAATTCTGTATTCAAATGAAGCGATGCTGCATGTGTCAGATAAAAGATGATTTATCTTACATGTCTCTATCACTGTCAGATAAAATGCAGTTTGAGAGGTTTTGGAAGAAATCTGCATTTTGGACATACTGAGACAAATTCATCAATGGGAAAAGTGTTTAATTGTAGTAAGTTAAATAGTATTCCTTTTCTAATGTGATGGAAATTATCCTACTCACCAGGTTTCTGTTTCTGTTTACTAATAGCATATAGGTACTTGTGAAACGTGATAAGTATTATATTTAATTTATAAGTTTTAAACGATTTCTATACATGTGGAAATATTTTTGCAATATACATCTGAATAGCAAAACGCCTGTAGGTAGCCAAATAGGTAGATAATGTAGACCTACTTATTATGCCTTTGATAATTATACCAGCTTTGCCACAGAAGGAAATGTTGTCGGGCAGGTAGTGCTGTATTTTTCTCAGAATGCCCTTAAATGCATATAACGTTGCTTTCTGTGGCTTTCATTTTAGTACTGTTCCACTGATCAGGCTGCTGCAGGCACAGATGCAGAACATGTACAACAGTTCTATAATCTTCTGACTGCCTCCATTGACATATCTAGAGGCTGGGCAGAAAAAATCCCAGGATTTACTGACCTCCCAAAAGAAGATCAGACATTACTCATAGAATCAGCTTTTTTGGAGCTGTTTGTACTAAGACTCTCCATCAGGTAACTATTTATTTCATTTCCTCTTAAGCTGATGTGAAAAATCATCTATCTAAATATTTTTTAAGGAATAAATATGGCCATATCTTTGAACATTGTCAATTGTACCAAAACCCCCACAAAACATCAGCAATGTCTGAATCCACAGGATAAGGTGTTTAATTTGTTTTACACTGCAGAAAAAATAAGAAAGTGGTTTAAAAAGACAGCATAGGTCTCGCTAGTGTGCATCTTTTTGTTTGATATACCCCATCCTCTTCTTCCATAGTAATTGAAATTGATCCTCAGGTGCTATTTGAGCAAGTTTGCTTCGTACTCATCAGCATAAACTATAGAAAAGCACCTTCAGTATGAAAGCTTTTTCCGTTTCCCCCTTCTTTTGCACATGCACATCTTTATCATCTGTTTTTGAAAGGGATGAAGAGTTAAAATCTTGTTTTTCTTCTTAATACAAAGTCATTTAATAGAGTGAAATGCTATTTGTCAGTCTAGCACTAGTTAAGACATTTTACCAAAACCAGTTTCAGGGACTGGGGAAATTCCAAACTGGTGATTTGAGTTATGTCCTTGTTTCTTTAGGTTGAAAATGATCTTTGCATGCGGCTTTTAACAGGGATATTGGCAATGGGGAGCAGAAGGAGAGCTGGGCTGTAATCTCTCTCTTACACACCGATTTTCACATAAAAGACTTTATGATATTATGTGTATTGTGGTGCATTATTGCATGTATTTTCCATTGTTTTTTCCTTATTAATTTTTACAGTATGAAAAATGCAGATGAGACTAAGTAAATGCTGAGAGTTGCAGAATCTCTTCTTTCTCCAGTTTTTATTAGTTTTGTATTTCAAAATGCACTCACTTATTCCTTTGGTTCAAACATACAGTATTTAATGTAAAATGTCTTCTCTGTTTATGCCTTTGGGCAGGACCGAAATCTTAACTAATTAGACAGTCTACACCACATGCTACAGCTAACCTCAGGCCTATAACTCTACGAAGTAAGCAATCATAGAAGCTTGTTTGTAGTACTTTGGCCCCAAGGGAGAAGCATATTGTCAAACGTGAATGCCCACATATGTCTCAGGATAATATACCTTGTATTTTAAATGACAGACACTTCAATACTGGTTATGCATTTTGCTGTAAAGTAGAAGATGCATTTATAATTTTTTCAATTATTTTTATTTGAGGTCTGATACTGCTGAGGATAAGTTTGTATTCTGCAATGGACTTGTGCTTCATAGACTTCAGTGCCTTCGTGGATTTGGGGAGTGGCTCGACTCTATTAAAGACTTTTCCTTAAACTTAAAGAGCCTTAACCTTGATATCCCAGCCTTAGCAAGTTTATCAGCTCTAACTATGATTACAGGTAAGTGCTCCTTTGTTAATAGAAAGCTTCAGACTCCAGTGCTTTGCTTTAATGTAGATTCAAGCGATTTCAGTTAACTTAGCTATATTCAGGGTCAAGTGAGTATGATTTTGAAGCATGGTAATGACCGTACTGAAATTGTGGACTAACATTAGGCCATCAGATATCCCGGTTAAAACGTAATCTAACTCTCTATTTCTTCATGGTTTCATTGTTTTCTTGGAATAGTCTCTAAAAAGCAAACTGCTTCCAAGCAAATTGTGTAGCTCCTGCAAAAACATTCAAAATACTTGCTGAATTCCCAGAAAAGCCTAATGAAATGACCAGAGCTAGGTCTTCTGTGTAGGAATACTAATATCAGGGTAGCTCGAGAGCTAGAAGCCGTACAGCTAGTATAGCTCACCTCTCAGCAAGAGAGCTAGACCAGAAAGAGCGCTTCACGAGGGCAGGCAGGCTGCTTGTGGTAGCCAAGCTACTGTAGGTATTCCATGTACTGCTTTTTTGAGAGAGAAAATTGCAGAATAGTAAGGAAAAAATCTTCTTCTGGGTGTGCATGTGACCATATCACCCCTTCTGCCTGCTGGGGCAAACAGCAGGAAACCGATGTCAGAATCTGCCAAATCTGGCCAGTAAGTACAAAACAGGGGAGCGTAACCTTATAAAGTGTAATTTTCTCATTCCTGAACGAACAGAGCTCCTTGAAGTACACGCTGCGTACCTTGGGCTTCTCGCAATTGAAGAGGCATGGCTGAGGGAAGCAGGAAGGGTTGGGAGTAAGGGTGTCTGACAAGCATACGGCAGCAGTCAGAGCAGCAGTCATCTCTGCTGAGCGCCTCACACTCATTTCAGAAAAGCTGGTAGTATAAAGGTGCAACTGTTCTGTCAGTGTGAGACAGGGCTTCAGCGTGCCTTGAGCTGATCTTCCCAGGGATGCTATAAGCACCACTGGGATGGATATTGATTTCCTCCTGCGATTCAGGCATCCACCAGTTTGCAGGCGGTGGCCTCAACAATATCACCTGCGGTCTTTATTTTACCTGGGATGAGATGATGCTAGGGAAACACTGAGGTAAAACGCTCAAAGGCAAATATAAAAACTATAAATTTTTTTCCTGCTGACATCTGCGGGGCCAAGATTTTGGCTTCAGAGTTTGCTTCCTTCTGGCATTTGGGTGAACAGTTACGTGTTCTAGCATTAACTCTCTGCTTCTTAAGAAAAGCATTTTCAGGTTTTTAATTAATTTCTGTTCATTTTTTCTGTAGTTGGAAAGGGTACATTAAGGTCCAGATTCTAGTTTCTTTGATAAAACCCTTAAGACCAGAACAACTCATTGGAGTTGCTTTGTTCTGTATGAAAGAATTTTCAAAATGAGTGGTATGTTAAAGTGAGAAAGAACATTCCCAACTTATTTTTTTACTCCTGTATTTTCTGTATGAAAGAATTTTCAAAATGAGTGATATGTTAAAGTGAGAAAGAACATTCCCAAGTTATTTTTTTACTCCTGTATATAAACGTCCACTGACATGTGTTCATGCATACTTACATATATGTATTATAAATAGGTATATATATGTGTATGTGTATACATAACTATATACATATACAACGTATATATGTATGTGTATGCATTTACATATCTATAAATCAAGGACAGGTGCTGTTTCGCTCCATATATATTTACATACAGGCATATATGCTTACATATATATAGCACATATCATTGATTTAGATTATTTACTGTGTATTAGATATGTCTTTTTTAGATAGACACAGGTAGCTTGTTCGTGATTATCTTCCTGGAAACTGAGAGGATGCAGGTCGATGAACAGGATTCCCAGCAAGCTGTCTACGTGAATGTAGAAAAAGCTACTGTATAGGAAGAAAAGTTTTTCTTCTTACAAACCCATGCCCTGTTTTAACATGGTAATTCTTTGTTCGGTTAGACACTGTTTGCTTGCCCTTACATAAAGAGTCAAAGTTGTCCAGCGGCTTGCTCAGGTCACCCTAAGATATTTAATAGAAAGAGCTTTTAATTGATAACACCCCACATTTCTTCCTTTCCTTGATAACAACCCTTTCAGGAGTTGGCTGTATTGTGCTGGTCTTCCCAAAGTTTCTAAGCAAATTGAAGTAACTGTTGCCTTTAAAAGGAGAGCATTTCTGTCCGTAAAAGCTTTCAGGTTTTCTGTATTTGTCAAGCTTTTCTTGATTTTCTCACCTGTATGAGATGGTGCTTAAAATTAATGTAGTTTTCTGCATATTCTTTTATTTCATGAGGCCATATATCTCTGCCAATTTGCTGTTAAGGACAGAGTATACTTTCATGCGATCTAAATTAGACCGAAGCTCCTGTGTCTAGTGATTTATATTCACAGGTTTCAGCTCTCCAAGGACAGCTAGCTAACTTAAGGACTCAGACAGAAATTTGGTCACCTGAAAATGGATGGTATTGTATAATGATGAACGATATTTAAAAAAACCTGAAAGAGGAAATCAGGTAATTATGGCTAAGAGAGCACTACAGCACAAAACGCTGGTGGGCAGGGTTCTTTTGAGACTTTCTCAGTGATAGTATGTTGAAATTTTATATTCAGGAAAGCCTTGAGATTTGCCTCTGGTGGTGTATCCCATGAGAAATGGCTTCTTGTCTTCTTCCTACAGTTTGAGTATGACAAGCCATGCGCTGGTTTTCAGTTAGTCCCACCAAAAGAGAAAGAATAATAAAGATAAATTTTGGAAATCTGAAAGCTGTTGAACATTTTTAAGCATTGTTTTGAGGCTTGGCTTAGGTTTAGGTGGGTGTTTTAGGTGCCATTCTTTATCTCTGGAGAAGGTACTCTTCTCTCCTGGAATGGACTGTTGGAGGCAATGGGTAATTAGCAAACCCTGGTTCAAGCCCTTTCTGTGAGTCAGAGCAAAAGAGAGTGACCTTTTCTGGGAACATAGGATATCCGACTATTGAGTATCACTGTCCTTCGTGTTGAGGCCATTTGACATATTTCACGGGCTGCAAGATGGCTGTTGTGTATGATGATTTGGGGACAAGCTGGTGCTCAGAGGGACACCCAAGGCCCAGTCTCTGGTCTGATTCCAACAGGAAGGGAATCTGACCATGAATCTCCCATGTCCCATATGGATATCCATGTCATTGGGCTGCAAGATAGGAAGGAGCAGGAAAGCTCTCTTTTGTGAACCTAGTCATTTGCTTTTATTAGCAACACTGCAAAACCAAAATGCTGGCTTGAGCAAAATTTTCTTCATTATTACACAAATTGCTCCAGTTTTATTTTGCATTAGTCAACTTTTCATGACTTGATGGTCACCAAAAAAAGAAAAAGACAACAACCCAGTGTTGTATAATAGTCATAGCTTGTTTTAATACTGTACAGCATCTTAGGTAGCACCAAATTCAAGAATTGTCTCTCCAGGTAAAGAAAAACGCCCCTGGGAATAATGAATGACCTGTTTGTTCTTCTTGATTTCATGAGTGCTTTCCATAGCCCAAACAAAGACGTGCTCTTAGAAAACAAACCCTCTTGTATACTAGTCATCGGCAGTACTGCTGAAGGAGTAAGAGAAGTCGCTACTCTCTTTTGCATGTCTGTTCTCCAAGAGTGACAGGGAGAACTGCCATCTCTCTCGCAATGAAGCAAGAGGGAATAAATGTAAAAATTAGTGTTGGAGTCTAGAAGACATTCCACTGTTCCCCGTGTCCCAAGATACTGAAGGCTGTTCTCTCATTCTGGGATGTCAAATCGGCTCCCCAGTAACAGACCCAGTAGTTCTAGTGCCCTTTAACTAACCCTGCTGACTTGTTTGGAGCTGCAAAGCTCCATGTCCTATCTCAACCTCAGCTGCAGGTCACAGCGTAGGATGCATGGTTATAGGCAAGTATGACCATTTGTTCAGTTTAGTAATTTTGAAGAGAACAACAGGAGACCTAGCGAGAATCACAATACTCGCTAATTCACTGCTTGCTTTGCGTAAAACTAGAGGTATGCACAACATAAAATAAACAGGAAAAGATTTTGTAATATTTTGCATTGTATAATCCATTAGAAAGTCCATATATTTGTGCTTTTCCTGTTTATTTTATGTTTCCTGGGAATTTGCAGTATGTCGCCTAGAAGGAAAAGCATCATGTCGGGTTGCTGCTGAATTTTAAGTCCTTTCAGATAGGACATCAGCTTGAAAGAGCACTCAGAATGAAAGACGTGACATTTGGTTTATTGTGGGTGGCTTGCAAACAGTTAACTTAAAACTCTGCAATGCCAAAGCACATCTTTTTTCTTTAAGGTACTCCTTTAGGATCTTCCTCTCTCTGTCTCTCTTCTCTTTTTTTACTTCCTTCAGTTGGTTAAGAAGGGCTGGACACAACTTCCTCCAGAGCACATCAGCGGCACTCTGAGCATCAGCCAGAAGAAAGTAGTTAGGAAACAACCCATGACACTCACCCCACATCCCCATGAAAGCAAGAAATTAGTTCTGTCCTGTTCTTTTTCTTTGGATCACTTATTCTGTTGGGATGTAGGATCTAATGAGCTAAAGAAGAGTGCCAACGTGGAAAGAAAATGCTGGTCATCTTGGCACAAGTTCTGTCCTTATTTCCACATGGATGATTTCTATCAGTTTAGTGTGTTGCGTGGATCACAAGTGTTCCCGCACAACCGCTCCATGCTGGACTGGATAGTGTTGATGATGAAGCTTTGCAGAGTAGACCAGATATTAGCTCAGCCTATTCTTGAAAATGCTTCCTTAACTTCCCAAATGACCATTTATAATGCTCTGCTTTACAGTTTTTCTAACAAACAGTGTCAAAATAGAAAGATTGAGACTCCAATGCGGATCATCTCAAGGGCACGCTCTAATTTAGCCTCAAATTTCTGCCTGCTCTAAAACTGCTAGTGTTTTTTCTCTCTCTCTCTCGATGATTCTCTTTTCCTCTCTGCCTCTTCCTTTCTCTATCCACATCAAAATATTATTGTTTTGCCCACTTGACACTCTCAGTGGGATACTGCTGGGTACAGAGCATTCTAGCCCTCATTCAGCCAAGCTCTTTCGGCATATGTTTTATTTTAAGTGTGTTACAGACCAGCCCAGAGCCACTGTATATATTGGGCTTATTCACACTCTTAATGCTTTGTTAGACTGGCACCAGAACATTGAAGAATATTGTGAGGTTTCAATTAATTGTGAGTTTGTGTTTGTCTTCCTGCTGTTGGGCTTTCTGTTCTAGTTTACAAACACAATTTTTAGCACCATCAGTCATACCAAGAAATAGTAAGGAGTCTGGTCTGGCTAAAAAGGGTCTGGCTGCTGCAGTTCCCTTCTGAACATGAGTTTGTCCAACTTCCCTACAGAAGGGAGGCTCACCTTCTCTTCAGCGGCAGATATCCTTCAGTCCTATCGCCAGGATCCTCCAGAGTGGGTGCTTCGTGTGCTGGGTCTACATACGAGCAGGTGGCAGACTGGAGGAGTGTAGGAGAGCCAGTTATAAAAAAAAAAACCCTCCAGATTGCATTGTCTGCCTTCCCCCCGCCACTTCGCCGAGGGAAACACTGTCAGCATCAAAGTGAAGTACTCACTCCTCCTTCTCCCCTCCTACCCTTTTGCTGAGGCAAGAACTCTTTCCTCCTGCAGCAACCAGCAGTCTCTGTGTTACGTTGTGGTTTTCTTAAAGGAGGGAGCAAACTATGATGTCCTGTGTGGTCATTCAGGTTATCTAGCTTCAAGTACCTTGCACAGCTGATAGAGAATACAGGGCACCTGCAAAAGATGATTCAGTCCACTTAAAATCGTCATAATCATCTTCTAGAAATGCCCATCCTTCTACTGATGTTAGGAGGAGCTCAAGAAGTCTGCGCTCCTAGCTTGGGCACCCTTGAGAAGTGCCTGAGAGTTAGGCAGGATGAACACGGGCCAGATTGCAACACGAAAGGAGATTCTTGGATCTGCCGAATTGCAATCTTGCTGTGTAACAGGGTGTGCATGAGACAGGCAGAAAGCTGTAGGCAACTGAGCCTCGTGTTTGTTTGAGTTATAGAAGGGGAAGAGGATTGTGAAGGGGGAAGAGAAAATCAGATAACTATATTGAAACCGAGACAATCAAGAGGCCTATTTTAAGTTCGCAGCGTAAATCTGTTGCATTTCTGATTGGACTGACACCTCAGAATGAATTAAGGCTAAAACTGACCCACCCTGACACAGAGCACAGAGCTGAAGGGTCTTTGAGATACTCAAGGTCTTTGAAATACTTGCGCTCTTTGAGAGGTGTTTCTTGTAAAGGTAGCACTCGGTCTGCCTAGCCCTGGCATAATCTTCCCCGTGTAGGGAAAGAAGGACTAGCACAGCTGGTGACAGGTTTTCCTGCTCTCTTACTTTCTTCCTATCACGTTTTTGCTCAACAGCGTAATTATAGCACAGAATCGCATTGAGATTCCTGGGAAAAGGAGAAAGGTGTAAAAAATTTGCTGCGTTCAGTTTGCCAGGATGAGCTGCTAAGTTTGCAGAGCTTTAGAGACAAGACTTCCGATGAATCATTTTGACAGGCTTATGGCGAGCATCTTTGCCATAAATCACCATTTTTTTTGCAAAAATCAATGGTGCCCTAAAACACGAGGCTGAGAAATCCTATATTCACTTTACCCGGTGCCTTTTTAATTGTCATTATAAGAAAGTCTGAATACAATAATATTTACACACCTCCTCAATCAGTTAGAGAAAATCTATTGGTTTTGACTTCCTGGGATAAATCTTGGCCTTATCATTCCCATGTGGATAAGAACATCCTGTGGAAGACGGCGAATGATTAGAGGCCATCAGCTTCAGTGCCAGTGCACACTCTTACCACAGGTGCCTTGTGCTGCTCCCTTTAGGCTGAATGAGACAGACTGGGGGGTCTTTCTTTGCTCAAATGAGACTGGTCGTGTGGAAAAGGCAAGAAAATGTGTTTCCTGCTACTTGAACCCTAACTATTAAATTTAAATCTTTGAGAAAATTAGACCCAAGACTCCTCAGTTCTACCTCAGAGATGGGTTGTTTCTTATACTGGTATGTTCCCCAGAAACTAGTCGGATGCTAACACCAGAGACTGCGATGGCAATGCCAGTGCATGCAGTGCCCTTTCCTAGCGGAAGGGCTTCCACATAGACGGCTTTGACTTTCTATGAGTCCGCAAGGGATGCCTTAGGGATTGGAGACTGAAAACCCCTTCTTCCAGTGAGGCAGTTCCAGTTGTGAGGAATTACCTTTGTAGAGATTTGCAAGTAGCTAAGGCTGTTGCATGGCAATTCATGCAGGAGAGGACAGCCTGGTTTATCAGAGACTGCTTTAATATTGTAGCACCGGAGAGCAGGTTAAGGACAGAGTATGTTTTAATTCTGAATGTTGATGATTTTGTTATTTAAAGTAAGGCTACTAATATTATAATCTTTGCACGTATTGTGTTTTGCGTCAGTATGTTTCATGGCTAGCCACCAAAGACACAACTTGTTCATGAAACCTTCTGAACTTGTCAGTGTGAGTCAAAGACTGTTTAGTTCTGGCTGGAAATGTTAACAACGTTGCTGTATGCTCCAGAGCCAGAGATAATTTTCCATGCTCTGCAGCAAGGTGCACACCTACTGAGGCATTGGTTTAAAAATGTGCTCTGCTAATTTGTAGTCAGGTTTTGGACCCATTCTAGTATTTCAGCTCCCTAGATCTATAAAGATATCTTCACTTACAAGCCAGGAAACAACCTCAAAACAGATTAAAAGATGGGAACTCTTCAAAGACTGCAAGATTAATTTAATGTCCTGCAGATTCTCTCAGTAGGCTAGTGGTAAAAAAAAAACCCTACAGCTTTTCAAATCTGTATAAAATATTTATCTGCCAAGATTTTTAATGGCAGAATCTGCCTAAGTATTTACTCTCAGTGACCTGTATAGTTAAGGCTTACATAATTACACTATACACCGTTTACTGGAAAGGCTTTAAATATTCTTTGACTCCTCGTGTTTTAATGTAAACAAGGCACTTAGAATACCTAGGGTTTTTAATTCCTGCAAGGTGAAAAAGATGTCTGAAGCAGATGTTACTGCTTGGATGAGTGTTGCTCTGAAGCAACAGGGCAGATTGATGGTACTTAAATGATAGAGCACAGTCGCTTCTGGCCAGAGACGTACACGTCTGCACATCTCTGATTCTGATCCCAAACTAGTGTTCTTCAGGAGCTGAAATGGGTGAATATCAGTGGAAAATCAGGCCTTTTCGTTTCTGACTGCCTTCATTGAATCCCGTCTGTTTTATTGGTTTGTCAAGAACATCTAGCCAAAACAGGCGGTGAGGGGAGGCAGCGAGGAGTTTGTGCACACATGCCTGGGCAAGGCACCGCTGCGCCTTGCTTCTGGAAGTAAAGAAAACTGTACTCTTTTCGCTGCTCGTTAGGGGACGGACAGAGAAAGTATCTTATTGCCCGCTCCTCCTGGAGCAGAGGAACAAGACTTGGGGGCAATGGGCACAATATGGCACGTGGCTGCCAGGGGTGGGGGAGAGGGCCAGGCAAGGCAGACGACTTCAAATGCATCAAACGCGAGAACTGCCATGAATTACTCCTCGTCCGCTGCTGTCACTGTTTTTATATGTCTAGTTGGTTAAAATTAATTTAACCTGCATTTTCTTAGACTGCCCTATCCGGTATTATTCTATTTCATGTGTAAATGATTATAAGTTTGTTATAAAGCAAGTTCTTACTTACCTGTGAATTTAAAGTCAAAGGCAAATCAAAACATCAGAAAATTAATTGTTCTGAAATGTTATATGAATTTATCCACTAAATCTTGATAGCAAACAGAACAAAATTATCTTTCTCCGTGTACCAGTAAAGAGCCTGCTTTTAATGAATCACAAATCTGATTCATTCTACTTATGCTTAAAGAACTGTGGATGTGTTTAACATGGCTGTAGCATTTTAAAAGGCTATTTGAAGGGGGACAAACCCTAGCTCCCCTTCCTTCTAGGAACACCGAGGTTTTGGTGATGGATAACACAGCTGCCTTCTCCCTTTAGGCATTGCTCATTCAAAGCAAAATAGTTAACTTCCAGGCTTCTTTTATCTTAGACCTTTTAAAGATGAATAAACTAAAAAGCAGCAGCTGATCAAAATAACAAAGGGTGGTAAGGTGCCTTTAGTTTCTTATAAGCGTGTCTGCAAATTCCTGGTGGAATTCTAGGCCCGGCGCTGATGAAGCTGGCTAAGGATATCGATCGCCACTTGAATTCACTGAATAAATAATGGTTGCCATAGTTATTGAGCATTCACAACTGGTGGGGAAGCACGGAAATCTCCAAAACACCTCCTGTGATAGTTTTGCTGGAAAATCACCCAATTAATTCTGTCTCATATAATGAAAATTATGCGAGATCGGAGGATGCTTGGACTCCTTGTACTAGAATTTCAATCATAATTGAGCATCTCTGCTGCCTATTTTAGCAGCTAAAGAGAAAAGGGCACTTGCCATCTCTTATTTTGTGTGGCAGAAAGGTTAACTGACATCGTATAACCCCAACTGTTCTGAGAAATTTTATACTTTCAAAGCATTTTTTGCTTTGAGTACCAGAGTGTGGATTTGGGTCACACGGAAGAAAACGAGTTCTCTCAATTTGTGGTAGGGGTGCTGATGTGGTTTTTCTCTCGCTTTGCAGAACGACATGGATTAAAAGAACCAAAGAAAGTGGAAGAGCTATGCAACAAGATCACAAGCAGTTTGAAAGATCACTTAACTTTCAGTTGCCAAAACAAAGGACAACCGCTCGAGTCTGCAGAGCCGAAGGTACTGGGTGTTCTGGCTGACTTGCGTTCTCTCTGCACACTGGGACTGCAGCGCATCTTTTACCTGAAACTGGAAGATTTGGTGCCAGCCCCTTCCATTATCGACAGGCTGTTTCTGGACACCTTACCCTTCTGAGTCAAACCACCCTCCTGAAAGGCAAATGCCCACCAGAGCAGGCAAACGGATCGTGACTTACAGCTAACATTTCTGCCCTCACTTAACAGAAAAGCAGCTCCGAGTCTAAAATGAGGTCTTTTCTGGCGCTTTGTCCTTACAACCGGAGGCCTGAAACTTACTGGCTTACTGGTTTGGGGTTGTGTTCTTTGTTTTCTTTTGTGTGATTTGGGTTTTTTAAATGGCTAATATGGCACTTTTGGACAATGCTATCCCAGCAGCAGTAAAAGGTTAACATGACTGTTTAAATCTGTTGTTTAACACCTCACGGTATATGAGGAATACAATTGTAGAAGCTGTGTTTGAAAACAAGAACAGCAAATAGTTGTTTGCCAGGGTAGTATGTGTTTTGTGAGGATACCTTTAGCATACTTCCTGCATCAAGGGCACATACATCAGCACAATCTAAACAAAAATTCACTTTTTTAGCAAAGTACATTCAATTGAACATTTCATACAAATCAAATATAGCAAAATGACAATGGCTGTTAGCTCCCATGTTCAAGTGCAATTTTTTAAAGTGCTGTCTTACTAAGTCTCGTTTATTAACTAATTTATTTTACTATGAAAACAAACGGAAGAAATCAAGTGAGAAAATTACATGCACTAACTTACCCGACCGAGTTTTCCAAACTTGATTCCATGTAGCGCGACTTATTGACAAATGTATGTGGAAGACACGGGAGCAATTGTAGCTCAGTTGTTCCTTAGCTAAGGAAATCTGAGTAAGTAGAGGTTGGAGCATACAGGGTCAGCATCAGGGATAGTTCAGGTTTAGACTTCTAACATAAGCGACTAGTTAGTAAACAGACAGAAGATGGTTTTCAAGAACAAGCAAGTCTTGTAAAATAGTATGAATGTAAGTGCTAGGAAGGATATAGTGGGCTGCGTTTAAACATTCCGTGTTCGTACTCCTTTTTGTATGTTTATACTGTTGATGCCATATTAATATGAAATAATTTGTTGCATAGTGTCTTTATTTGTATAAATGTTTGTATGCATGGTATATTGTAATGGCTTTGCCTGTATTTATTGCAATGACTGCCAGCTCATGGGAGCCCTGTTACACATGATAACTAAATGGGGTGTTCACACTGACTCAGATACACCAGTTGGAAAACTATATACATATATATAATCTGTATATATATATATGTATATACCTATATTTGTGTGCGTGTGTGTGTGCGTGTGTCTTTTTATTAACCATTTGTATATAAAATATCTGTCAAATCACAAGCAGAGTTATTTTACAGTTTATTTGCAGTGACTTCTAAGGCAGTACTGTTTAGCACTTTGATATTAAAATCTTGCTCATGTTTTGCTAAATTCAAATAATATTTAAAAAGTTTAGTTCTAAAAACTTTATATGCACTGTATTAAGTCAAAATTTTGTTGGTCATTTTGCTAAGGAAATTTTTGAATGTCAACCTGATGTCACTGTATCTTTTGTTAGCTTTAAACATTCTAGCTTTTGTCTTTTTTTAAACTATGCTGTTTATATGGAAATTAAATTATACAATCAAACAGATGCCAAATGAATTGCCTAATTGCTGCAAAGGATAACCCAGATATCGAGTCACTGTATGGTTTTCAAATAGTAATCTGGTATTTTATCACTTACTATGTTTGGATGTGCTTTTATGAAAAAATTATTCTTATATCAAGATTTATAGTAGTGTCAATAGGGAAACAGACTTCTAATCACTATAGTTAATATTTCCGGTTTACCTGCAGATAATATTTGGAAAAGTATTGCTTTTTGTATTGACTTTTAAGCTTATGTGCAAACATAATAGCATAATTAAATATCAGAGAAGCTAATGTTTCTTGTAGGTTGCTGTAACAAGCCTGACCAGCAAGACAAATATATTTTGACTGAATTTGCTTTTGTATATACTAAATATATATATATACGTATATATATATACACACACTCACACACATGTGCGCATACAAAAACATACAGACACAAAATCCAAAAGTATGTTTACTTTTGTCTCTTTGTGTAAGACACAAGTCCCTTGAGAAATTACTTTCATCTAGGGACAAATCCTGCCAGGTGCTGAGCACCAGGCAGATGAGGGCTTGCAGGCGCTTCTTGCGAGTGAGCCCTTACAGAGAATTTTCAGGCGAATCAGCATAGTACAGTAAAATTGCTTTTTTGTTGAGCAAGGTTTATTTATTAAGTGGAATGTGAGTGGGAGGTAGCAGGTCCAGAGCCCCATGTGAGATTTCACGTAGCCGGTGTCCTCCAGTCTTCCATAGATAGTCTTAACTGTGATACTCTCCCAAATCCCGTCATCTGTGGAATTGTCCTTCATGTCAACTTCAATACACAGATTCATCCTAGAGTACAACCAGTGACAGGTCACAGTGGTAAAAGAAAGAGTTAACGCAGAATAAATCTACTACTTTTCTTAGAGCTCTCTCGGTGTGAACATGCCTTTGTCTAGGCAGAATTCAGGAATATATCAGGTGTTAAGGGAGAGTGCCTTGCTTTTATTTCAGACAAAACAGTGTTTCAAGAGTTTCTTCACTCCGCTAACCGCAGTAGTTTTTTTCTTTTTCTATTTTCTTTCTTTTTTTTTTTTTTTTGTGGTGTTAACCTGTGGGTTGAAAGAAATGCTCTTGTACATATACAATGTAAATTAAAATTATTAAATTGAATAACATTTTTTTCAGAGGCCCCATGTGTGTTGAATAAGTATGCTTAATTGTTAAAATCTGATGTGAATTTTTTATCATTTATAAAACATTAAAAAAATTGTCTACTTGAGTCTTAAAAGTGGAAAAATTGGTGAAGCATGCTTAAGAACACTGGCAATTTAATGGCTAGTCTTTTGATTAAAATAGCTTTTATATAAATACAATAAGACCTGCAGTATCTGGTTACGCAATCTCAATTAGATATTGAGAGCTGGACCATGGTTGTCCCAGAGGTTGAACTACATATGGACCAGAGCAGAGAGACTACCTGCCCCTCATTGTACTTCTCCTCCATGCCAGGCAGGGATTGTAATTAACTCACAAATGATGATGGCCACAAGGGAGGGAGGGGATGGCTATAGGGCTCGTGGTCCCATATAGCACCTATGTCTGGCTAGAAAGAGCACAGAGCTCTGACCCCATCTTCTGCCCCTTTGTGTCAGTAAATCCTGGTAAGACATTGCTCCAGAAAGCACCTGCAGCATTTTCTTTAGATGTGCGTCCAGTTCCCTTCCTTACCGTGCCTTTGCTTTGTAGGAGGGGTCGCTTATCCCCTGCCAGAGAAAACTGTTTGGCTGCAAATGCATTTTCTACACATACAAATATGAGAGGCATCTGCCACTATTCCGGGTATTGCCATAAGTACCGATGGCTCCGGCACACCTCCGTGAGAGCTGTTCTTCTGCTTGGCTAGAGGTTACATCAAATGGTGTGCTGTGGCAGGCTGCAGGATTGGCAGCTCCTTCTCTGGAAATGTGACAAAACAAAAGGTTGCTCAAACTCTTCCAAATTATTTGTTGCTTTTTTCCTACGCCTTATTTTTGAAATTAAACTAAAAATCTTAAAATCCTTAATGAGAATGGCAATGTGTTTTGCATAATAGTCCCCTGTTAGGCAAAACACACAGATCTTGAGACCAACCTGCACCAGGGTCTGAATTTTCACCTTACAAGAAAAAGCTTATCCTCACTCAACTCACAAGTATCTCAGTTTGTAATTACTTCAGGGGCCATAAGTTGTGTCCTTAGACATGGGAACAGAACTATGTCCTGATCTAGATCACCTGCGCTTGTGTCCTTATGCGCGCCTTACATGCACTCCTAAACCACATCAGTGGCAGAGTCCTTGCAAAGGATGTGATGCCCAGTGATTGACTCTGGCATTGGAAGGTTGGGCTGAGTCAGGAATATGGTAGCGGGTTCCTCTAGTAGAGACCATCCTTGGACAGGAGGCTGGCACCAAGGCACCCCAAAATGAGCAACTTTAACTAGAGGTGAGTCAAAGCTCTTTGTACGGCTTTCCTGCCTTTACTTTTCACATTCAGGTTCATTTGTCCAATACACAAAGCTAAAATTTCAGTTATGCTGCAGAGAGGAGGGGGAGAGAGAGAGAGGTTTAATTGTATAAAATTAAGCATGGCTCTGACAAAAATTGGCAACTCCCTCTATGGACGCTATGAAACATGTCTTTTGATTAATTATTTGTATTATAGCAACACCTAGAGGCCACAACAGAGATCAGGACCCCATTTTGCTAGCTATCCTAATTAGCACCTCCAGTACCCACGCGGGAGAAGCTCCAGTTCAAATAGACAAAAGAAAAAGAAAGCAGAGCAACACAGTAAAAAAGGAGTAGAGTGCCATGCCCAAGGGCATATAGCATTTCAGCCACAGAGTTAGGAATAAAAACTTTTGTTTACTGAGCTAGTGTCCAGTGAATGCTCTTATTTTGTTTTCTTCTTCATTCCCTGGGCAATTCATGCTGCCACTGTATCAAATTTTATGCAAACACGATAAAAGCACTGACAAATTCAAAATAACCCATGTATTCAAACTGATCTTGTTCAATCTGCGTATGTAAGTCATCCATGAGACTATTCAAAATCCTGGTCAATCAATGTTTGGAGCTAAGCTGTGATACAAACTAGATAGTATTTAGAAAAGAGATATTTAGCTGTTCTTTATTAATGAAACTGACCATTAGGAGTATTTCAAGATATGGATTAAACAATAATTATTAATGGATAAAAAAGATTAACTTTTAAAAATGCCAAACTATTGATGCAGTAATTGAATAAATGGGGAGTCAATTAATCAAATTCTTAGCAACGGATGACGTATTTCAGAACTGTATTCCAGACCTACATTTGTAAGAATTAACAATACAGTGATTTGTCAAATAAAAGAAAAAAAACTTGTTTACCATATGGAAAAACTTTTAGCAATTTTTCTTCTGTTTTCTTTTTTAACATTAGACACCTTTACATTTATATTCATAATACGGAATGTTCTGTCTGTATTTGGTTACAGAAGTTTGAATACATGAAGTTGTGACATGGCTGTGAAAGTTGGACGAGATCAAGATTCTGACCTAAACTCACAAAAGCAAGGATTTTCTTCAAAGAGAAGGGTGGGAGTCCAGCTGCAATTAGATATTAAGTATATTGCAAGATAATTATGTGTGTATAATGGAACTACTTTAATGTCAAGTACAAGGTTCTGAAGTCATGCAAGAGACAAGACCATGAGAAAAAAATGCCATTTTTAATATTTAATATTTTCATAGAATCATAGACTCATAGAATTACTTAGGTCGGAAAAGACCCTTAAGATCATCGAGTTGAACCATTAACCTAGCACTGCCAAGTCCACCACTAAACCGTGTCCTTAAGCACCACATCTACACGTCTTTTAAATACTTCCAGGGATGGTGACTCCACCACTTCCCTGGGCAGCCTGTTCCAAGGCCTGACCACTCTTTCAGTAAAGAAGTTTTTCCTAATGTCCAGTCTAAACCTCCCTTGGCGCAACTTGAGGTCATTTCCTCTCATCCTATCACTTGTTATTTAGGAGAAGAGACCGACACCCACCTTGCTACAACCTCCTTCCAGGTAGTTGTAGAGAACGGTAAGGTCTCTCCTGAGCCTCCTCCTCTCCAGGCTAAACAACCCCAGTTCCCTCAGCCGCTCCTCATAAGACTTGTTCTCTAGACCCTTCACCAGCTTCGTTGCCCTTCTCTGGACATGCTCCAGCACCTCAGTGTCCTTCTTGTAGTGAGGGGCCCAAAACTGAACACAGTATTCAAGGTGCGGCCTCACCAGGGCCGAGTACAGGGGCACGATCACCTCCCTACTCCTGCTGGCCACACTATTTCTGAAACAGGCCAGGATGCCATTGGCCTTCTTGGCCACCTGGGCACACTGCCGGCTCATGTTCAGCCGGCTGTCAAGCAGCACCCCCAGGTCCTTTTCCTCTGGGCAGCTTTCCAGCCATTCTTCCCCAAGCCTGTAGCGCTGCATGGGGTTGTTGTGATCCAAGTGCAGGACCCGGCACTTGGCCTTGTTAAACCTCATACAGTTGGCCTCGGCCCATTGATCCAGCCTGTCCAGGTCCCTCTGCAGAGCCTTCCTACCCTCGAGCAGATCAACACTCCCACCCAACTTGGTGTCGTCTGCAAACTTACTGAGGGAGCACTCGATCCCCTTATCCAGATCGTTGATAAAGATATTGAACAGGACCAGCCCCAAAACTGAGCCCTGGGGAACACCACTTGTGACCAGTCACCAGCTGGATTTAACTCCATTTAACTTTGGGCCCCATCATCCAGCCAGTTTTTTACCCAGCGAAGAGTACATCTCTTCTACATCCAAGCCATGAGCAGCCAGTTTCTCCAGGAGAATGCTGTGGGAAATGGTGTCAAAGGCTTTACTAAAGTCCATGTAAACAACATCCACAGCCTTTCCCTCATCCACTAAGTGGGTCACCTTGTCACAGAAGATCAGGTTGGTCAAGCAGGACCTGCCTTTCATAAACCCATGCTGACTGGGCCTGATCACCTGGTTGTCCTGTACGTGCCATGGGATGGCGCTCAAGATGATCTGCTCTATTTTAGATTTAGATCGCTTTTTCTTAAAAGAACAGAGAACTCTGGGCTTGTTTAGGTGGAATTTTATCATCATCCAGCAAATAAATAAATAAATAAATAAACAAACAAACAAGCTAAGTGACATTTAAAGAAAGAAATGTGTTTAAGTAGCTGAAATATCTCAAATAACCCAAAGTCTTCAACCTGCTAAGTAATGTATTAAAAAACTCCCTCCACAATAACTTCTATGGTGGTCTGTGATTAAGCACTACTGTAGAACGAAAGTGAATTACAGAGACGGTTTGATACT